GCCACAGTGACAGGCTCAAAGACAGGCACATGACCCAAGCCCCAGGACTACGGGTGCAGCTGTCAGGGAAGTGGCCCCCTCTGCGCACCATCCTGGCTCCCCTTTCCCTAAGGGGAGAAAGTTGGTCTGGGAATGAGAAGAAAGCGGAACCAAATATGGAGCCAGGACCGAGCCAGCCTTTTGTCTCATGAATCAATAGATTCACTTGGGTCAACAGTCCTGTTTGTTGTCTTTGGTCACATTGTAGGAATCAGGACTCATGTGGGACCTGCCCGCTCCCACTAGGGATGGGCATCAACCCCCTGTAGTACCTGCTGCACTTGACCGTTGTCCTGGTTTACCTGGTGGAAGAGACGGAGAGGGTGATTAGGTTCCTGAAGTTGGGGCCAGGGAGGTGGGAAAAATGGAGGGGTGAAAGGTCAAACAGGGCCAGGGGGTGTGGGGTGGGGGTGGGGAAGGGGTTCTGAATTCCTTGCTCTGCAGATGCCTGGCCGGACAGACCTCTGTGCCTCAGTTTCTCTCTCAGTAAAGCCGGGAGGAGGCAAGATAACAGACAGTAATCACACCTGCAGCTCTGTTGACCAGGAGCTACCTGTCTCCACAGAGGGCTCTCACAGGGTCCTATTTCTCCATAACCTACTCCATAAAGCGGGCCTCGCTGTGCTCCCCATTTCGTAAATGACAAAACCGAGACTTGGAGAGGTAAAGTCTGTGGACTTGTGACCTTCTACGATCTGGAGCAGCAGAGGAGAAAGCAGGCTAGACTGGAGTCTGAATGTGGGGTGCCTCCAAGCTGTGCGTCCTTGGGCAAACCTCGTCCCTTCTCCGAGCCTCAGTATGCCCATCTGTGAAATGGGCTCATAGGAGCTCCCCAGCAGGGTTGGCGCATGGCTTCCCTGGAAAGATGGGTTAGCACTCACTGAACGCTAACTGTGATCACTTCTGTTGTCTGCACTGGCTGCCCGCCTGTGACGCACGTCACCCGGGGCCTGGCACTTCCGTAGTAGGGTCACCGGGAGATGTCACTAGCCTTGCAACTGGCCTTCGAGCGGAGTGGTGGAAAGCAGCCTGAATGCCTGGGTGCGAATCCTGCCCCAACTTTCTGGCTGTGACGCGGAGGCACATTTTCAACCTCCTGGGGCCCCGGTGTCGTCAGTTGCAAGTTGGGTTTGGACTGTCCCTGTCTCCCAGCGTTGTGAGGGCTGCACCTAGAACGATGCTTGGCACACAGTGACTGCTTATATAAACGTCTGCTGTTGATTTTATGATGACTTTTCCACCCCCTGTGGCAGATGCTATTGGCTGTCCAACCCAAGACTATTTGCCCTCCATCCTCCAGTCCCACAGACACCTGACTCAGTTCACCCTCCCTGCGCAGCCTGTAGTTCAGGGAGCGTGGGCTGAGCCGGGGGGCTGCCTCTCAAGGATCCCTAAGCCCGCTGCAGTAACTCTGTCCCTCCTGCTGATGACAGGTGTGGGTGTGGGGTGTCTGGGCCCAAGAGGCATGAGGGGACTCTGCTGGATGCTTCGGGAAAGGTCTCCCCGCTCTTGAGAAAGGGCACGCAAGCCCTAGAAAAGTCCCGTTTTCTACCTCCGGCGGCATCATACAAAGAGATGTGGGTACTACGCCAGCCACCGTGGACTGCGAGAGGGGAAACTGAAGTCGAATCAAGAGGGTGAAGCTCCACCCACCTGGGACCCCCATGCTCACCAGCAGGGCCCGTACTGCCTCAGACACAGCCTCCTTCTCCTCCTCCAGACTCCGGATCTGCTCCCGCAGCTGCCTCAGCTCCTGCCATGTGGAGATCTGGGGGTGGACACGGGAGGGAAAGGCGTGAAGTAGCCACTGTGTCCTGCCCCTTCTCCCTGCAGCCTCGGCCTCTGGCCACCTGGACCCCAGTGGCCAGTCCCCCTCCCTTCCCCCCCTACCCCACACTAGCGCTCCCTGATGTGAAGCCCGTGGCTGCCCAGAATGAAGACACGTTTCCCAGCCTCCCTCACAGGTGCGTGTACTCCCGTGTCCAAGTTCAACCAGTGGACATGAGCAGAAGTGGCAGTGTGACTCGGGTCACCTCCTTAAAGATAAGCCCCCATGTTGGACTTTCTGTCTCTCAGTCCCCTTGGACCGGATGACGGACTGGGAGGAGAGCCAAACCGGACAACATCCTGAGGGATGCGGAGCAAGAAGGTGAAAGGACCCAGGTGCCGAGGGGCATGGAGCTGAGGCCCCGCCAGCGATCACCTCGGAGTCTCACAGAAGAGAGAGGCAGCCGTCCTCTGGGGCTGCCACGCCAAACCTGTGCCCTCCCACATGGCAGGCTCGGCTCTCGTTCATGGGCATCCCTACGGCTGTGAGGTCCCTCTGTGAGCCCACATCCCTGGGCAAACCCCTCGGACCTCTCTGGCTGTGGTTCTCCCTTCGACCAAATGGCGCAAACAACACCGTCCTCCCTCCTGGGGGCTGGACGCGGGAAGGGGAGGGCAGGCCACAAGGCGGCTCCCCCTGGATGTCTCCTGGACACTTCATGCTCACTCTGTGCAAGAGTGACTTGAGGACAGGCATCTCTCCCCCCAGATCTGCTCTTCCTCCTTAGGCACAGCCCCAAGAACTCCCATCCCCCACCCCGGCCCTGTGGCCAGGCACCATGTCCTGACCCTTCTGCCTCAGGGACATCCATCAAGTCTGTCCTCCTCCCATCCCCTGACTCCTGCCCCCATCCAGAGCCTGTCCTCTCTCGCGAGGACCCCTGTGCCAGCCTCCCAGCCTGCAGGCTCACCTCCTCCAGCCAGAGTTCTTACACAAGCGCTCTCCCGCCTGAAAGCACCCATAGCTTCCCAGGGCTCCGAGGAACAATTCACATGCCTTGTTATTGCCCAGAAAGCCACATGCCATACTTCTCTTCATGCTTCACGCCCTAAAGGTGTGTTTTTCAAGCTTTGGGATGTGATCCATTAGTAGGTTGTAAATAATTTAGGATCTCTAAACCAGCACTTTAAAAGGCTGTGGTAGGGGCGCCTGGGTGGCTCAGTCGGTTAAGCGTCTGACTTTGGCTCAGGTCATGTTCGCAGGGTCCTGGGATCGAGCCCTGTGTCAGGCTCTGTGTTCTGCAGGGAGTCTGCTTCTCCCTCTCCCTCTGCCCCTCGTCCCTCTTCCCCGCTCATGCGCACTCACACACGCTCTCTCTCTCTTTCGCTCTAATGAATTAATAAAATCTTTTTAAAAAATAAATAAAAAGGGGCGCCTAGGTGGCTCAGTTGGTTAAGCGTCTGCCTTCGGCTCGGGTCATGGTCCCAGGGTCCTGGGATCGAGCCCCGCATCGGGCTCCCTGCTCAGCGGGAAGCCTGCTTCTCCCTCTCCCACTCCCCCTGCTTGTGTTCCCTCTCACGCTGTCTCGCTCTCTGTCAATTAAATAAATAAAATCTTAAAAAAAAATAAATAAAAGGCCTTGGTAAAGTACACATAAAATTTGCCACTTTAACGATTTTTAAGTGTACAGTTCAGGGGCATTAAGTACCTTCACACTGTTGTGCAGCCATCCCCGCTGTCCATGTCCAGACCTTTATCTTCCCAAACTGAAACTCTACACCCATTAAACGTTATCTTCCCATTCCCTGCTCCCCCCAACCCCTGTACGTATATACCGCATTTTGTTTATCTATTCATCCATCTACGGGCACTGGGGTTCCTTCCATCTTTTGGCTACTGTAAGTAATGCTGCTATGAACGTCGGTATACAAATACCTGTTCAAGTCCCTGCTTTCAGTTCTTTGGGGCATATACCCGGAAGTGGGATTGCGGGATCATAGGGTAATTCCATGTTTAACTTTTTGAGGAACCGCCACCCTTTTTAATTAGTTTTTCTGAGCCTTAGTTTCTCCTCTGATAAAATGGGGGCAATAATGGCACCTACCTCATACGGTGGATGTGAAACTGAAACGAGGCAAATATGTACAGAGCACTTAGAACAGGACCATCCTCAGCACCTCAGCAAGGTCTAGCAATATGGTGACTCTGGTTCTCGATCCCTAGCATGTAGTATTGTATTACTTACCAACTTATTCTCAACACCTGGGACATAGTAGATGCTCCTTAAATAACCGTTCGGTAGAACCGTTCATTCATTAGATAACCCTATCTACCCTGCTAGCTGTGGGGCAGCGGCAGGTCTCCACCTCTTACTCTCCAAAGGCAAACCCCTCCATCCTCGTCTGATTCACATCCCTGTCCCCCATGTTCTGCCCCCTCCCCCCATTTTCTTTTGTCGTTTTAAGCCTGGCATGAGGTTGGAGCCCAGAGGACATGGGCAGGTAGTAAGTTCCTAAGCGCAAAGCAGGTACTCAAACCGACGCATAATGGGTGTGTAGATAGTAGGGCCCTAGCACTCCGTGGATAACTGGCACACGTATGCGTGCCAAGCACACCAGGTTGGCTAAACTTGGGGAGGAACGAAAATTCCCGTAATTGATTCGCCCCCTGCTGGAGAGTATCTTGCAAGCCCAGTTCGGCCCCGCAGCTGATGACCCACGCAAGCGCACTCACGATCGCGGGCAGGTCTTCCGGCCGCAGCTCCCCCTTGCGGAGCCGTAGGGCGCGCGCGGCCTCTTCCGGGCATGCGCAGAGCGACTCCATGTCCAGCTGAGGGAGAGCGCTGTAGCCCTCGCGCGCGCGCTCGTACAGGAGGTTCCGGCCTTGTCTCTCCGTGGCAAAAGTTCTCCTTGGGCTATGGCTGCAGGCACAGCCTCTCCGGGGCCAAAGACCCCGAGCAGCCACCAAAGGCCACAAGCGCCGCGCCACGGACGCAGCCATCTTGGACAGGAGACAAGGAGCCACGCACCCTTTGTCCCGCCCACTCCGCGTTTAGACCAATTGCAAAGCAGCCGCCCTGCCAATCAGACCCTGGACCGGGTGAGCGCCTCTCGTGCCTCAAATAGAGTCCGACGAGAAAAATTGACTGAGATTGACTCTGTCGTTGACCAATCGTCGCTTGTGTCCCGCCCCTTCAGTGCACACGAGAGGCAGGTCCAGCCAATCCCGGCTGGGATGGCCTCCGGAAGTGGCTAGAAGCCTGTTCAGCGTGCCTGCGGACCCAGCTAGGGTCGGTTGAAGTAGATGGGATGCTCGGGTTCTCCAAATCTCCCCGGCCTTCTCCTCAGTTTCCCTTTTCCTCCTGTGTGCGGGGGGAGGGGCGGCGGGTGGGCGGGAGAGGTTGCTGGGTGCCCGAGAGCCTACTCAGAGCGAAACTAAATTTAAGGAGGGAATTTCTGTCAGCAGCGTGAGGGGTTGTGGTTCGACCGTCAGGAAATTCCTTGGGTTTAATCCGAAGGCTCTGAGGACAGGATGGGGAGAATTGGGGCCCTTCCCCGGCTACGGCCACTTTTCCTTCTTCCTTCCTGATTCTCTCATCCCCTAACACAGGGACCCTGCTGGCAGCGGGATGTCCTGGTCCGGCTTTCTCCGTGGCCTGAACACGTCCCTAAGCTCTGGTAAGTTGGGGGCTTGAGCTGCAGAGACGCAGCAGGACGAGGGTTATCCCCTCTGGGACTTGGGTGCCTCTGCCGCAGCCCCGGGGGGAAATCGGGGTTTTAAATTAGGGATGCACGGATGCATGGTAGGTTTTAGCGGAGCTCGGGCCGCAAGGGCAAGAGGTGGGAAGTCATTGCGTTGGGGGCGACTATAGGTCGTCAGGTGGGTATCAGGAGTTTGGGTCAATTATTGATTTCTTCAGCAAATACTTATTAAATAACCTCCCCTGGGTGAGACATCCAAGCAAAGGGTTTAACTCATTCATTCAGCTGATATTTTTCAAGATCCTGGTGTGTGCCAGGCACGGAGAGGGATGCTTTGCTTATGTCCTTATGGGCTCGGCAGACATCAGATGCTTCTCATGGCCAGTCACTCTGCAAACTTTTATTAAGCACTTTCTGGTTGCCACTCACCAAGGATCACATGACAGGCTTGCGACCTGCCCGGGAACTCTGGGCTAGTTTGACATGCATCTCTCACCGTAGCCTCTCATACACCGTACTCGAGGAGGTGTGATTCTGGTGCTTCTGATACAGTGAGGACACCGAGGCACTGAGAAGCAGAGTCTTGCTCAAGGGCATACCACTAGGAAAAGGCTTCTAGCAATGTCTCACCCCCTTTGAGGATTCTACTGTAACTTGACACATAAGGAGACATGGAAATGGATAGTAGGGCCAGGACCTGCCCTGGATAGGGAGAGAGTGTAAAGTTTGGGTGTAAAAGGTCATCCGTGCTAGTGACAGGAAAAGGATGAACCTAAAGCCCTGAACTGGGAGCTCCAAGAGGGTATGCCCAGGGCTGTCTCTGTCACCATTGTGCCTCCATTATTGGGGCCAAGACAGTAGGTGCTCAGTGAATGTTTGCTGAAGAGAATCCGGTTATGGTGGCATCTTCTTACATCCTATCCATGAACAAATCATCAGTTTGCCTTGGAAATATATTCCCTCCCCTACCTGTCTTTCTTCTTAGTCCACTGCAGCCACACTGCTCCCTTTTCTGTTGGTGTGTTGGTTCTGTTGGTGCTGGAGCAGGATGAGTAAGGAGGCAAGTAGGGAGATGAGGTCAGGGAAGTAATGGGGGCAGATCACCTGGGGCTTCATGGGCCACAGAAAGGACTTTGGCTTTGTCCTGAGTGAGATGGCACTGCAGGAGGGAGGGCTCTGAGCAGGGTGGGGCATGATCTGACCCAGCTGTCCACAGGCTCCCTCTGGCTGCATGTGGGGACCAGACTGTAGGAGGGGGGAGAAGTAGGGCTCAATAGGCGAGGCTGGACAGGGCCAGAGTGGATGCAGTGGAGGAGGGAGGAAAGGGTCTGTATCAAAGTTCGGCTGACATCATCTGCTTATGGGGGTTGGAAGTGGGTATGACGGGCAGGAGGAGGGACACCTCCCTGAAACACCCCATTGGGTTGCTGTGGAGATGGCATGAGTTCACGTAGGTACAGTGCATAGAACAGTCCAGGACACGATGTGAATCTGATCGCTTTTATTATTTTTAAACAGCATTAAAGTCGCTACCTTCCTTGCACAATAAAAGGAGCTAATTCACATTAAATGTTTAAAATAGAACCTGACAGGTGATGGTTGCCCAGTAGATGTTATTACTCTTATTTGTGACTACCCCCAGACGGAAACAAATACATGCTTGGAACCATGCCTAGAACTCTTACCCGTTCACTGGGATAACACCCCCCTCCCGGTTGTGTGTTTCCAGGCCTAGCCCTGGCCTCCCAGCTCCGGACCAGCCGCCCCATGGCCACCCTGAACCAGATGCACCGCCGAGGGCTCCTGAAGCGGCCGCCCCCACCTCTGGGCCCCACGGCCGGCCGGCCGCAGCTGAAGGGCGTAGTGTTGCGCACGTTCATCCGAAAGCCCAAGAAACCCAACTCGGCCAACCGCAAGTGCTGCCGCGTGCGGCTCAGCAACGGCCGAGAGGCCGTGTGCTTCATCCCCGGAGAGGGCCACAGCCTGCAGGAGCATCATGTCGTGTTGGTGCAGGGCGGCCGCACTCAGGACCTGCCTGGCGTGAAGCTCACTGTTGTGCGTGGCAAGTATGACTGCGGCCACGTGCAGAAGAAGAAGTGACCGCCAGGGCCACCTTGGCAGGCTGGGGTTCACCCAGAATAAGAACCTTCCTCTCTGGGTGCCCGCAGTATCCTTGGGAAGTTCTTCCAGCTCTGGAAGCACCTGGTCCTGGGTGCAAATCCTGGCTTCGCCTCTTCCAGCTGGAACACTACTTGCCCACAGGGGTTCTGGGTGTGGATTAGTAAAAGCACCCCTCTGTGCACACCCTTGCCTTTCGTGTATAGAGCATGGGCTCAGGGGGCGGGGGAACCCCTTCTGCTGGGATAGGGCCCTGTACTGCCATCTGCTGGGAAGGGGTTGCAATAAACACACAGACCCCTCCGCCCCTGACGGTTGTCGTGTGAACCCTCCTGCATGGTATTTGCCCACCGCGTGGTATTAGCCATAGAGATTCCCGATGGGCCTTGGTTTCCTCCAGAAAACAGCTCCACTCACAGTATCCTCCTTGTTGGGTTGGTGAAGATGAAATTCGATGCTCTAAGTGCAGAACACCTGCAGGTGGCTACTCCGTGGGAAGCTCTGGAGTCAGGTAGGCAGCACTGAGGCCCATTTCCCTTTCCCGCAGGCCCAGGATCTGGGCAAGGACAGCCCGGCTGTCAAGCTTCCTCATCTGTGGAAGCGGTGTTGAAAGGCTCGGAGGGCATGCGCTGCTGCCTGCCTGGGAGCTGCTCCTCTAGGTTATTTCCAGACTCTCACACACCTGGGTCCGAATCCTGGCTCTCCCTCTTTGTTCTCTGACTTTGAATATTGGTGTTTCCCCCTCTGGGCCTCAGTTTCCTCCCTCGGGAAATGGCACCGAGAGTAATACTGACCTCACCTGATCACATGCGTGGCCACTGGGAGCTGTCCTTCCATCACTGGGCTCTGTGCAAGTCCTGCCTTCCCTGCTTACTGGCCAGGTGACCTTGAGCGGGTCATTGAAACTCTGAACTTGTTTCCTCCTGGACCGAATAAATAACTGCCTGCCCTCCGTTTCCTGCATGGAGCTTAGCACACCTCCTGAAGTTCTCACGATTGGAAACCTCCCACAGGCCTTTTAGGATTAGGGCTGGGGGCAGACAGTGCATTGATTACAGACAAAAGTCCCCCATTGTTCACATTTAGCACCAATTTTATTGAGCCAGTTTGTTGGCTGTGCCCAGGTGGGGAAATAGCACAGACACTAGGGAGGCAGGCATGAGCCCTTTCCCCTGTGGCACGCCTTGCTCTTGGAGTCTGAATGCAAGAGAGTGGAGAAAAGGAGTCTTGCCCAGCGGGAGGGGACCTGCCCCTGGCGTAGAGGCAGGAGGGGGGGGGGTCATGGTTTGGGGGATCAGCAGGATCTCAGGAGTTCTGGAAGGAATGGCACCAGCCAGGCTCAAAGGGCAGGTGCTGATGAGTGGTGCTGGAGGAGGTCACATAAGCCTCACATCTGAATCCCAGAGACCCCCAAGACTACAGAAAGGGTTCCCTTTGATGCCCCTGTTGGTGACCTCAAGGACAGACTGCCCCGCCTAACCTCTGCTCCCTGCTGGGCAGTCGGCTTACCCCACAAATATGCAGACAGGAGTCACTGTCCCCCACTGTTACAAATCCTGGTTTGGCCTTTGTTTTTTGACTCAGTCCACCAATTAACATCCACTCGTGTAAGAAAACAATTTGCAAGCAAAGTAAACATCTGAATTACTCTTGAGTAACTTCCTGCACCCCAGGAAGCTGGGGAAGTTGTGAGCAGCCTGGTTGGATCCCTGGTTTCTTGCACAGCATGTGGGCCACCATGCCGAAGCAGCAGCAAGTAGGGTTCACCGGAGGGCCACCGGGAATGGGCCACGTGGGACCCCCACTGTCCACAGGTACCCGACTCCCAGCTGCAAAGCTGCCCTTGACTGATGATGATGTCCGGCAAATGGCAGTATATTCTGGAAGGCTGGATCAGCCTGGTCGGCTAGGATAGGCGGATCCTGACCCTCACACTGGAGTGGGTCACGAGGGCGCCATAGTGGCCCACCCAGGAACGCGTGTCCCTCCCATACTGCTCAAAAGACACGTAGCGGATGCCCTTGCCGAAGTTGGTGAAGACATGAGACACCTGCATGGGGAAGGAGAGCGGGAGGGTGAGGACCTGTGGGCCCTTCCCTTCCTCCCCTTCCTCAACAGGCACTCCCCAAGGACCAGCAGGGTCCCAGGCCCTGCTCTAGGGGCTGGGGATACAGCAGTGAAGAAAGCAAAAAGGCCCTGCCCAGGTGAAGCTGATGGTCTCGTAGGGGACTCAGACACTGAAGACAACTGGGGGTACGGGGCAGGGGGGTGGGGCTGGACAGTGAGTGAGCAAAGGCACCACTAAGACAACACGAGCAGAGACCTGAAGGAGGGGAGGGAGTCATGTGGGGATCCGGACAAAGAGTCTTCCAAACAGAGGAACAGGCTTGGGGCACCTGGGTGGCTCAGTCAGATAAGCATCTGCCTTCGGCTCAGGTCATGATCCTAGGGTCCTGGGATCGAGCCCTGCATCGGGCTCCCTGCTCAGCGGACAGCCTGCTTCTCCCTCTGCCTGCCGCTCCCCCTGCTTGTGCTCTCTCTGACAAATAAATAAATCTTCAAAAAAAAAAAAAATTTCTCCCTTAAAAAAAAAAAATAGAGGAACAGTCAGCACAAAGGCCCTGAGGTAGAAGTGTCCTGGAGCAGAGAGGAGAATAGGAGGTGGTGTCAGGGAGGTAAAGGGCAGATCATGTGGGGCCTTGTGGGCCATGGAAGGACTCTGGCTTCTGCCTTTTCTTATCCTTTGCAAAATTTTTTTTAATTGAGATAATATTCACCTAACACAATGCACCATTTAAAACTACAATTTTGTGGTTTTTAGTATATTCACAATATTATGCAACTATGACCAACTAATTCTGGAACATTTCCATCAGCCCAGAAAAAAGCCTCATATCCATTAGCTGTCACTTCCAATTCCTCCCTCCCCCTAGCCTTGGCAACCACTCATCTCTCTGCTTTCTCTCTGTATGTCTTTGCTTCTTTGGGACATTTCCTATACATGCAGCCCTACAGTGTGTGGCCTTTTGTGCCTGGCCTCTTTTCACTTAGCATCCCACTGCCAGGGTTCATCCATGTTGTAGCATGGGTCCATACTTCATCCCTTTTTATAGCTGCATGATAAAACTTTGGCTTTTCCTCTGAGATGTAGCCCTAGGAGGGTTACAAGCGGGGAGACTTGTGATCTGACTCACTTTTAAATGGGATCTTTCTGGATGTGTGTTGGGTGGGGGGAGGAGGAGATCAGAAGAGGAAACAAGGCCACCTCAAGGGTTTGATTTTTTTAATTATTGTTATTATTAATTTTTAGAGAGTGCGCCCAAGCTGGAGGGGGAGGGGGGCAGAGGGAGAGAGAGAATCATAAGCAGGCTCTGACACCAGGCTCAATCGCATGACCCCGACCTCGTGACCCAAGCTGCAATCAAGTCAGACACTTAACCGACTGAGCCACGCAGGTGCCCACAAAGGTTACTTTGATAATAGGTGCGATAACTCAGCACAGGCTTGGGAGCCGGCCTGGGTGTGAAGGGAGCCCTGCGTGCTTTAGCGTGACTTGGGGCCAGTCACAACCTTGCATGCCTCAGTTTCCTCGACTCTAGAATGAGGATAGAGGCAAGGACTTTGATTTAGCAGTGCCTCCCAAGCACCTAGAGCAGTGCCCAGCACACAGTAGGGGCTCTGCTAATGAATTAGTTGGCAAAACTCTGGGAAGAGTACCCGGGCGGAAGTAAGGGTTCGGTGGTTGTTGGCTGTTACTGTTAGAGACTTCCAGCCGTGATGAAGGCTGAGAAGGGTATCTGAGCAGGTGGGAGGTGGGGTGGTCTGGAAGGCAGTCTGGACCCACCTGTCGGCAGCCTCTCTCTGTCCACTGAAGGACCGGGTTGGGTGAGGCCGAGAACTTGACCACTTCGTTTTCGTACACATCCAGGAGGCGGACCCGGAGCCGGTAGATGCAGCCACAGTTCTCTCGGGCACCCCACCTGCCAGGTGGTGGTGAGCCTTGATGCCCCCGCCTCCCGCCCGGTCACCAGGCTGAGGGCTACGCCTCCCTGCACTTTGATGAGGGTCGCACACCCCACGTTGCATATGGAGAAGTCAGGCCCTGGGAATTTGCGGGGAGGAGCCTGGGTGCTCCTGGGGTGGATTCTAGAGGCTTTGCCTTGGATGAGTGTGCGTGGAGGGGGAGGAGGATGGTGTCTGGGGAGGAACCACAACCTGGGAGAGGAGGAGCCTGGGTCTTTCTGGGGAGGAGCCAGAGCCCCAGGGAAGAACCTGGACTTTGTTTGGGGGAGCAAGACCTGGAAGGAGGAGCCCGAATGCTTTGTGAAGGAACTGGGGTGCTCTGGAACCAGGGCCAACTCTGTCCCCTCTGAGTCTCAGTTCTCAGGGCGCAGTGCTCCGAACCTTCCTGAGGACTTGGGTGTCCACAAGCCCTTAGGGTCCATGCTGACTGGCGATGAGGGTGGAGTTCATGAGATGGGGTACCTCGTTTCAGACCAAGCCAGTCAATGGCCCCCATGTCAACAACCCCGGGGCCTGCTGAAAGGGGACAGGGAAGGGTGCAAGGGGGGGTGCTGAGCTCGTCAAAGCTCTGCCCCTCCCAGCCTCTGCAACTGTGAGAGTATCCCCTCCCCACTCAGCCTCACCGTGAAGGGCACACAGTAGCCGCGGCCAGACCAGGGGGCTGATGGGGGGCACAGAGGAACCCTCGTGCAGCACGGCTGCCAGCCCCGATGGCACTCGGGGTGGGTTGCCATTCTTGACTCACCAGTCGGCCACACAGATCTCGATCTGGGCACTGTCCAGCAGCTCCTGCCACACTCCTTCCATCACCAAGTCTACAAGCTGCCTCTTGAAGCACCATCTGGGAAGGGGAGATGGTGTAGGGATGAAGAAAGCCACAGCCCAGAAATCACCTCCTCCAAGAAGCCTCCCCTGACAACCCTGTCTGAAGCAGCCCCTCGGGGTTTGCTCTCCTGGACAAGATGTAGGATGGGCTGGGCATGCCCACTGGCCTCTCCCCTCCTCTCCACCATCCTCCACCAGGCTCTGGGCTCCAGGAGGCTGACCTGTATGTCCCTAATATTTGTGGAGACTGGAACACGAGTACAAATGGAGGCCCACACTGGGCAGGGAATTCTGGAGCCTCCTAAATAAAGTGTGGAAGCCCAAGGGCTAAGGTTGTACTGCCTGTATGGACAGGTCTCCCTTACTCTCCCCTTCTTGCTGGGTTAGCCAATGGGAAGCACTAGCAGGAGAAGGAAGGGCGAGAGGAGAGTAAAATCGGGTTATTTAGCCTCCCGGCTCCCTCC